TACTGTAAGGGTGATGGGTTGATTGTGCTTACTGTAAGGGTGATGGGTTGGTTGTTGCTTACTGTAAGGGTGATGGGTTGGTTGTTGCTTACTGTAAGGGTGATGGGTTGATTGTTGCTTACTGTAAGGGTGATGGGTTGGTTGTTGCTTACTGTAAGGGTGATGGGTTGGTTGTTGCTTACTGTAAGGGTGATGGGTTGGTTGTTGCTTACTGTAAGGGTGATGGGTTGATTGTTGCTGACTGTAAGGGTGATGGGTTGGTTGTTGCTTACTGTAAGGGTGATTGATTGATTGTTGATTGGTTGACTTGCATATTATTGTTGATTGGTTGACTTGCATATTCCGTATATAGGAAGAAAACTTGAACAAAACAAAAAGATTGGATTATATGAAACACAGAACAGAAGTAATTGATAAAAAGATGGAGGAAATGGATTCATCCTCTGTTATTATGAAAAAAGTGTTAAGCAATACAGAAAATGACATTTTAGAATTAAGGTAATTACAGCCTCTTGCTACTGTACTCTTGTGATTTTGTTAGCATGTTGCAGTCTCTTGCTACTGTACTCTTGTGATTTTGTTAGCATGTTGCAGTCTCTTGCTACTGTACTCTTGTGATTTTGTTAGCATGTTGCAGTCTCTTGCTACTGTACTCTTGTGATTTTGTTAGCATGTTGCAGTCTCTTGCTACTGTACTCTTGTGATTTTGTTAGCATGTTGCAGTCTCTTGCTACTGTACTCTTGTGATTTTGTTAGCATGTTGCAGTCTCTTGCTACTGTACTCTTGTGATTTTGTTAGCATGTTGCAGTCTCTTGCTACTGTACTCTTGTGATTTTGTTAGCATGTTGCAGTCTCTTGCTACTGTACTCTTGTGATTTTGTTAGCATGTTGCAGTCTCTTGCTACTGTACTCTTGTGATTTTGTTAGCATGTTGCAGTCTCTTGCTACTGTACTCTTGTGATTTTGTTAGCATGTTGCAGTCTCTTGCTACTGTACTCTTGTGATTTTGTTAGCATGTTGCAGTCCCTTGCTACTGTACTCTTGTGATATTGACTAGGCCTTTCAGCTACTTGCCTAGTGTACTTGTTTGATTTTGGCAACACATTTCAGCTCTTGGATTGTGATTAGCAAGTTAATGTATGTCTTACATAGGCTTAATTTGTGTGTTCTATTTTGACAGTGCTGAAATGGGTGAGATGGCAATTAGATTAGAAACAGGTCAAAAAATGCATGATGATTTGAAAATTGCACTTGAGGAAGTTGAAAAAAGAAGCGAAGAACAAGCATGTCAACATGAAAATCACTTGAAAGAAAGGCAGATTGTATTGAATGATTTGGAGGTAAGTAAGCATTTCAGATGCACACCCAATCCTATGTTGTTTTTGCTTTCACTGTAATATTTGCAATATAGGTAACCGCGGTTGACAAAAGAAAGAACCAAATAACGCAAAAAAAGAAGAAATACAAATCATTGACAGGCAGTCAAACTTTCATTATTAATTTGACGCATCAGTTTATGCAGACCTGCACAGAAAACTGTGGTTCAACTTGTGCTGTTGATAATTGTATATTTAATTACTAAATCGAATACTAAAATAAAACAAAACGCTAATTGTAACAAGCTCAGAGCAAAAATTCTAAACCAAGTTGAAAATTCACATGTCACATTTCATAGGAAACATTCAAAACTAACAAACAGACTTAAATTGATAACCTGGTTAGATTATTCAAGGGGTGACCGCCCTATGTTCTGAAATCCCTATGTTCCGAAATCCCTATGTTCCGAAATCCTATGTTCGAAAAGCCCTATGTTCCGAAATCCCTATGTTCAGAAATCATATGTTCCAAAATCTCTATGTTCCAAAATCCAATGTACGAAATGGTTTCTCTATTGAGTGTTCCGACACTCAGGGCGGCGGGTAGGTATAGCAAAAATTGCAAATTACTCGTGAATAAGCGCCATTTGGTGACCGTTTTCCACATAATACATTTACGTTGCATGGTACCGTTTGTAAAGCAGTTAACGACGATCCAGATAATACCATTGAATAAAGTGTCTTCTTTGTGCAATCAGGTCATGGTGTTTTTTTTGTTTTTTTCCCCACCAAGTTATGATGCTATCAAATTGGCGATTACATTAGAGTTCAGCGAGGACGAGCGCTGGTCCCGGATGTGTCGCAGTGTGATAATCCCATACGAAATGACATTCACATACTACACCTATGTTTCAGATACGTTGTACTTCTATTTACTGTAAAACCCCCCAACGGAAACTCTCCATACTTCTTTGTAACTAAAAATTCCCAAAATTAGGCCTCGAAATTAACATCGTCCCGACGGCCCGGGGCACTAAAAATTTAGGCCGGGACCACTAGAAATTGACTTTGGGATCTTTTTTGGAACGATAGAAAAATAATCAACATCTCCGCCCCATCCCTTTGATCTGTATTTTATTTTGTGCACTTTCCCGTCTCAGTTTTCACGAAGATATGAGTTGAGCCATGGAAGGTACTAAAGGAGTACCTTCCATGGTTGAGCGTATACTCACTTTTAAAAAGTAAAGCATGGGGACAAACAATCAAATGCTGGTAATGTAATGAGAGCTACGCTCAGTTTAACATGAAGTTGACACAAATTCACGTGAGAGAACGTTTGTTAAAACAAAGCAATCATGTTTAATTTAATATTCACGCAGTTCAACTATGACCTTGTAAAAAAAAGGGTCGTCTCAGCTTTCCGAAAATACGAGTTGAGCGTACGCTCACTTTCAAAATTGGGCATGGTGCCAAACAATGCTTTGTGCTAAACATCTTCAAAATCGAGCATTTCCCCGGCTGTTTACAGATGGATTTTGTTCAAACCTTGTATATACGTTGGACAGTATAGGACCTTGATGCACATCATTTTGTTTTACGATCTGATCAAGATGGCCGAATGGTGGCCATTTTTGTGTTAAAAAATCATAAAAATCAACCATTTTCTTGGCTGTTTACAGATGGATTTTGTTCAAACTTGGTATATACATTAGACATTATGGGACCTTGATGCAAATAATTTTGTTTTTCAGATAACGTTCAAAATGGCCGACTGGCGGCCATTTTGTATTAATTAATGTGGTTCTCGATCGTGCCATATCTCTGACTTGTTTTGACTGATTATGTTTAAATTTTAAATATTCATTATACATCATGTCATAGATAGACAGATATATTGGTTTGACGATCCTATTCAAAATGGCCGAATGGTTGTCATTTTTGTACTAAAAAATATCATTTCTGGCATTTATGGATGGATTTCGTTCAAACTTGGTACATACATTAGACATTACGGGTTCCTGATGCACGTCATTTTATTTTTCAGATCAGATTCAAAATGGCTGTCTGGTGGCCATACAAATGTCAATCATTTTAATGTTAAAAAATCATATTCCTGACATGGTTATATGTCAGCTATATTACTATAAACATAACTATATATCTTAAATTTGATAACTAACGGGGACTGTGCCATGCATGGCTTGTTGTTTATGTGTAATCGGCGGCGTTTTACGTTACAGATTGATGAATAGAGATGTCCGTTTCTGTCACTTGTAGACAACTAACCAGTAGAGTCCCAACAAGTATGGGTGGAATGAGAAGCATTATATATATATTAATAAATCTGTTTCCATGTTCGTTAGAAAAATACGGCCAAGTAAATATTGAGTTTTCATTTCATTAAAATATCAGCGTTCAAGTGACTTTGCATAGCGCCGATGTTTTAATAAATATTATTTTGTCACATAGCTACATTTAAAAAAAAATTGAATTACACAGATTGAGGAATATATGCGTGACTCATTTCAAGAAACCAGAATTATTTTCCCCACACTTTAGTCGCCAGTGTATGAATGGAGTTTTTAAATGCCAAATGCAATATAGTAATTTAGATGCAACGCTGACATTAGATTTTCCCCTAGTGTTTTTATTTGTCGGCATCTATAACGACGCTCAATGATTACAGAAAAGCACCTTATATGTATATGACCACTGATACAGTCTCGATCATATGTGTATTTTACATGTAAATTTGTATTTTCATGAGGGTCAGCCAATTGAAGCCAATCGATTCTTACGATCACGAATTGATTCATGCACATCTAACATATTTGTATAAATGTCGCGATGTGCAACTTTGCACTACCATTGCTGTAGTGTAAATCTATGAAGGTTGATCTGGACATATGAGCAAAATGGGAATGTAAATTTCATTAATAAAACGTCATTCTTGTATGTGTGCACACTTTCACATGCAAGCGACGCCCAGTGCTTCAGCCAAGGGGACCAACAGTGTTCAGCCCGATTGTCGACAGCAGTCTCCAGATTGTGAATGTGATGCGAGCGCCGACGGAAGGAGGGAGGGGGGCTCCACCGTGATCAATGCTGACACAGTACATTCGGGCGAACGGACAACCAAAAAGGCAAAGACCTCACGTGGAAGACTTAAAGCACCCGAGTCAGCCACTGCTTTAAGTTCAACTTCAAGTCCAGCCTCAGTCACTACTCCGTGTCCCATGACAGAACAGGGGGCTCCGATGAAAGCTCAAGTGATGATGAAAACGACATCGAGCTGCCAGTGCAGAAGTCCTTGGTATGTTTTTATCCACTTCAAAATTATCATTGGTGTAAAGTTACTTTTTTCATTGAACTTTAAAGAATGCAAGGAAAATTCTATCACCGGTAGTGTATGATTTCTTTATGAATCTGGTTAAACCACAACAAGGCCTAATTCTTGTTTGACATACATGTATTCCAATTGATTTCAATAAACTGTTTCTGGCTTTAATAAGTCTGTAATGACCAAGGTTATTTTATTCATTTTCTTTTGTGACTGTCAGTAACCAAGAACTTTAGTATATGACCTTAAATATTATTCTTCTAATTTAATACAAACTTTCATTTTATCCTTTTGAGAAAGAAATGAACTACTTCATTGATTGAAAATTATCAATTTAGCTGATAGATATTTTTTTTTTCTTTTTCTACTTTAGAACACAGTGCCAACCTCTAGAAAGTATGAGGACAAACAGAAGAGACGCTTCCTGGAAAAGTGGCGGAAAACCTATGACTTTGTTGACTTTGACTACGAAGCAGAAGTGATGCTCTGCAAAACTTGCAGGGCTGAGCCCAGGGTAGCAAAAACAACTCCCTGTTTCATTGGGTTATGGGAGATAAGATTAGAGTAAAAACTCTCAAAGAGCATAAAAAGATAGTTGCTCATGGACTGTGTGTTGCAGCAAATAAAGCCAGACAGAACCCAGTCCAAGCACCGTTACGACGTGCTTTACAACACATGGACAATGCAGTTAGAGACAAACTTATAAGTTTGTTCAACACCGCCTATTTTGTGGTGAACGAGGAGGCTTCCTTTACTCTTTCCAAAGCTTGTGGGCCTGCAAGTGAAGAATGGACTAGCTTTGGGAGAGACATATCGTAATGATCAAGCCTGTTGTGTCAGCCATTGGTGATTGTATGAAGGAAGAACTTGTAGAAAAGAAGGCTTTCCTGTCAACCGCCTGGTTAGCATAGTTACACTAGAGCATGCATACAGTGATGGTATTAAGGATGCTATTTTTTCAGGATTGGAGAATGTATCATTAACTCAGGATGATTTGTGTCGCCGCCTCGTTGGGTTTGGATCAGATGGAGCTTCAGTTATGATTGGGAGGGTGAATGGTGTGGCAGCAAAGCCCAAAGGAAGTGTGCCCAAGCCTTCTGTGTATTTGATGTGTGGCACATCGTCTAGAGATAGCAGCTTTAGATACAGTAAAAAATGTACCACTCCTGTCTGAGCTCAAAGAAACTCTGAAGAGTATTCACAAACACTACACATACTCTGCAAAAGCTTCTCGTCAGCTTTACTCTGTGGGGGCAGCTCTGGGCATTAAGGTAATCAAGCCATGGAACATTGATGGGTGTAGATGGTTACCTCGTATGTCTAGGGCTCTTGGGGCCCTCGTGACTGACTACAAGGCTATAGTTGTGTACTTTGAAAACCTGGCAAATAACATAAATCATACTCAAGCCAGTGTGACGATGAGAGGGCGAGCTAAAGTGCTCCACAAATCGCTCACCCAGTATAAGATGTTGATGTACTGCAGGAACTGGAGAAGGCGAGTCTTTTATTCCAGAAAGATGGCCTCTCCCTGCAGGATGTAACTGATGGTCTTCAGCAGGTGTCGATCGCCTTAGTTTAAATGCAGGTCAGTGTAAATAAATATATATACTTGTTATATATAGTTGTTTGTGACTATTAGTTACGGTAACCTAAACTATTGCAATATTTCCAAGGTTTCTAACTT